GACTCAAGTCGTCTGAGTAGCCGAAGCCGCATGGGGACCGAGTCGAGATGCACACTTCCCACTTGCGTGTGAGGACACACACATTAACATTACCCAATCATTCATGTAGAAGCCCAACATCAGTTATGATAGGGGAACTATCATGCGCACGTCTTATGCCCTAGGTTGGGGCTATACGGCGCACCAGACATTGCAGCAAATTTGGTAGCAATCGGTCGACAGGTCCGAACAGACAGTTGGTGCTTTGGGGGGTTGGGCGAGGAAGGGAGGGCGAAATCTATCTAGGGAAATTTTCGGCTCCAGAATCATGTCGTTGGAGAAGTCATGATGGTTAAATGGTGTGTTTGGTCGTTTATGGTGAAAAGACTAAGCGCTGGGTCTTAGTTAGATCGACCCTACCGCCTTTTCTTTGCCCGTGCCGGTGGCCAGTACCAGTCAAGCGAACAGGGGATGGGATTGGCTAGAGTACCTGGCATGACGTGTCCTATTTGTCTAACGGTTGCCACACACGGATTAAGAAAAAGTTGGACGCGCCGTAAAGAGCACATGAAGAAGACGCCATTGCAGTTTAACACTCGCTCCGAAGGAGTTATTCAGCGGGCTGGCAACTTTCCAAGCCTAGGCTTGTAACTCGTCGGGATAATTTCAAGTGAATCAGACCTACTTCGGCCAAGACGACGGCCATACCCAAACCACTACATCCCCGCTGTCCAGACCCATCCAGACGGGGAAAGCCAAGAGGTCAATAAGAATCTTTAGCCCGCAAGGGATTCTGAGAGTGGATTGAGTTCTGGACTCACCGTTGGCTGTACGCGTACATGCGCTTCTTCGAACAGGCGTGAGGCGGATGCGGAACGCTTGGTGTGCGTCTCGCGTGACAGGCAATGTCAGCTTGGTGCGTTGATTGGATGTTTCCCGAGTTTTTGAGTGACTGTGGTTGGTCGTCCTCTGACCTTCGTCCATGATTACGTGGTTCCTTGGGCGGCTGGCGCAAGGAAAGGAAGGTCCCTAGGCGCCTGACATTTACTATAGCAAGGAGTACTTTTAATTACATGAGGGTGCACCTCTGTGTTGTCATCACTCTATTCCCCCAAGTACACCATTGGCCTGCTCGAGCCTTCCAGTCGACTGGTAAAGTGACTAGGCGAAGTGACTACCGCAGCACGAAATCTCTGTCTTCGCGCGCCGCCCATGTATCGATCCTCGGAGCACATAATGCAGACCGCACTGAAGCAGCGGTTGTTACATAATTGATAAACGCACATATTCACACATGAGGTTTCGGCTGACGTCACGTTGTAAAATATCATTAAACGAGTGGTTTGTGATGTCTTATTCATTAGCGACGCATATGCGCATGTGCCCTAATGAGCCCATGCACTCCCTGAGTTTATGTGAAGGTCATGGTTCTGTGAAGCAATCCGGCTTTTGTTGATTCAGCGATCATTCTCATGCATACAGATTCGATCGAATATGCTCGTCCCTTCATAGAGTGTGTTGCGACCGTGTAGGCGGATAAGGCGAACATGGCAGTTTTTAGACTAGAATCGGTTCTGCAGTCGAGCTGCAGGTGACCAAACAGCCCAAAAAGTGATTGGAATAAACTCCACAACTGGAACAAGTTAACGCTCTGTCTGTTTTGCTAGCAAAGGATGTGAGTGCAGGCGGTAACATGTGTACTCCACGTCCTGGTGGTGTTCCCATCATTGTGTGCGTGCGAAGGTGTCTGACCAGGGCGAACCGAGGATGAGACGTAGTGTTAGAATATGAACAGAAGAGCGGAATGTCGTGCGTGCTGAGGTGGGTAAGTCGTTTCGAGATAGCACTTGATGCGTGTCCTGGATGTCGTTTGGTAGTACCGAAACATTGCCGGCATTCGTACGTAGTACTACCGTCTTAAGCGCTTTTCGCTTTGCAGTACCTTACGACATTCGGTCGAACTTCGAGATGAGGAGCCTACTTGTCGCATCTGTATACCAAACATGTCAATCCTGTGCAAGTGCTTCTCATTAACTTGTGCTGATTTCCTGTCTCCAGGCTTCCCTTGCATCGCTGTCTGTGTTCATATTTTCCTACAGACACTCGTAGTGATTTCGCCGTTAAATATTAATTTGTACGGGTTCTCAAAGCATAGCTAGTTGTTGCAAAAGGACTTGCTTCAGCATAATCTAAACGCTGAACGCACCCATTTTCTCTAAAAGTTGAACGTCCAGAGTGCCCCTGTCTAGCCTTGCCTTCGGGATATTTCAGAGGCAGCTTAAATGAGAGCGTCCTGGTTTTCTTACTTGAGTTTTTCACAGTGCTCGCATCTCGGCCCTGCTGACTAATGCATTCAGGCAAACAGCTATATAAATCCTAATATCGCTTTGGAGAGGATGTTAAATTTGTTTCAGGCTATGTTGCAGCCCACTGGAGACCTGACTGATTTTGGAGATCGTCAACCGTGAAGTTCCCTGACATGATATTTCCCAGGAAAGTGAACTTGTCCGAAGCTGTAAGGCTATGCCCATTGATACTTACTGTAGGGTCTTTACAGCTCTCAAATGACTCTGGCTGGCATTTGCTCATTGTCCTCTCGGGGATAATGGTTAATTCGAAACTGGGAAGACCGAAGGCGAAGAAGTCCGGCCCCCCTGCATTTCCGATACCGTTATAGGATTCAGCGTGCGGACTTCGGAGCTTTAGAGGTCATAGAGACTGGTTCTGACTACTTTTACTTCTGTCTGCATGCATCGGGTGTTAGAAGGACTGGCTAGGGGTTGCTTGTGGTCCGGTCACTAACAGCAACTTCATGGAGAAGTATATTGATCAGTTAGGTTGTTTGCCACACAGACAACGCAGCTGCTAACTAACAGTCCATACACGCGTGTTTCACTGATCTCGTGCTGCCCAGTGGCGCGACTGCGAGGGTTTCGACTCACCAATGGACTCCCCGGCCTTCCCCATGTACTTTTAGCTGTATAAACTCCAGTATAAATGCCATCTTGTTTAATTTCCAACGAAAATAGTTCGCGAATTCAGAGTAGTTCCTTCAGAACCAAGTTTTTTAAGCTCCGTTCAAAAGTTTGCAGATGAATATTCAATTTGGAATTTATCAGGTCCTGCTAAATAACCGCTCAATATCCACAAACTATCATTATGATAAACCACTTAGTATTTGTTTACTTCTGACTGTCCTTTGGTAGCTTGTGAATATTACGCCGTCGCCGAACTTTCGAACCGACCTCGGAAGCTTTGTTCTGAAGAACTTACTTCAAGCTCGCGCTCTAAATTCCTCGGCAAGTAAACAAGACTACAAATCTGCCTTGTGCTTATCACGTGTTGAATTCTATTCGTGAGACTGCTCGATTCCGATTTCCTTCAGGTTTAAACGCGACCGATGCGTGGTGAAGCAGTACAAAAGTAGTACATTTGTTACCGTTACTTCATAGTCTCTGGTAGTGAACTCCTGTATGAATACGAGAGGTTAGACAAATATATAGACTGGTTTAAAAATTGACTTCTTTTTCTCGTTCCAGCGAGACTATGGGTCTCACATTTTTGCCTGCTTTCGGGAAAAAGGACAGAATAATGTTCATAGTCATACGCGAGCGGTATTCAGCAGTCCGCCTGAGTTCCGAATGAGCCATGCCACAGCTGACGGATGTACTGTCTTTCTCAGCGTAGAAGCGTTTGACACCATAGCTGCTAGCCAAATTTCCGGGCTTCATATGTTCTATTCTTATGATTTACATTAGGCTGGCTGATAACACAATCCGGGAGGACAATGACCTCCCGGTACCATATTCAGTGCTGAGACATTCCCTGAGCAGGGGAATCAGTCACATGGGGAGGGCGCGAGTGCCTAACTATCCTGGTGACAGAGGGCCAAACTAAGAAGCAGTCATCACGTCAACATCCAACTCGGATGATGTAATTGCGGCACTCAACGACTTAGATGCGGACTGACGGGCCATTATCTCCTTAATTATGCCCCCCCCCAGTGGTGATCACAAGAGCCATTAATTGTAGTACGCACGTGACCCCACGGCAGCTACGTGCTATAAATACCGCAGTCTTTGTGCCTCTACTGCCTTTAGCTACATCCGTCTCCGATGATGGGTTCGAGTGAGGATCCGGAACGTCAGGCAAATAAACCTCTCATTGCAGTGATCACTCCTTCTTCTTCTTCTTCTTCTTCTTCTTCTTCTTCTTCTTCTTCTTCTTCTTCTTCTGATCTGATAGGCTATATTCCTGATGCAGCCCCAAATAGGGCGACAATCACGGATGACACTGCTAATGAAAAAGCGGTTCCCGCCCCACACAGAGACCTTTCCTGAGTATAATGGAAGGTCCCAAGTCTTTCTGCCAAGGCCTTTAAAGTACATCCCTCACCAACTGACATTTCTCGATCCTGAATGAACAGCCTCACATTTGCTGTCCAGTCTGCCAACCGGACAAACATTCTTTTTAGGCAATCAGAAATGCTTATACTAAGGAGAGTTTCTGTGGCCCAAACAGTTCATAACCTATATAACATTCGTACAGACTTCCGTCCACCCTATTACTGAGAACATAGTCATGCTACTTATCGACTAGTCGAGTCGGGAAAGCACATATGGTCTGAAACCTTACTTTTGATACTGTCATCTTGGATATTGGGCTTCGTGCCCTGTGGCTATGCTACAGAAACGGCCAACATTCCTTGACTGCCAAGAGGATTGCTCTGTCGTTTTTTAACATGTGCGGTGTAATTTGCCCCTCTCAAGACGCCGCCGGCATTTATTGTTGCCTGACCCAGTTAAGTCCCGGTGGGGCGGTCGTAGATGCCATACCGTCGAGTTAAATATGGCGTCCAGTAAACGAGTTTAACGAAACGAAACCAAAACTATCTTTACCCGCAGGCCTCAAACATTTCAAATCTCAGACAGATTTTGAGTTTAAGCGTTCACATCATAGACAGAAACAACATGCAACACCAGTAAGGCAGAAGAAATGTTAGAAAGGCATCAGGACATAGCTCAGAACATTGGCTCATCTCCGATGTTAAAGTGGTTGACCTTCGGGTTGAGCAGATCATTTATGAGAGCTAGTTCATGATCGTCGTCAAGCTCCAAACCAGTGGATTTGGGGTCTGAATCTATCATATGTGAGACGTCAGCATCAAGCATCGATTCGCCCTCTGCGCCGGTACCCTCTTTGGTTGACTCCTCTGTCCCTGCCGAGTTGTTATTGGTTCTTTCGCTTCCTTCACCTGGGGGAGTTCTCGTGGTCACTGGGGCCTGGACAACAGAGGTTGTCTGACTGCCCGGACCACCGTCATTGCTACCTTGGTGAATTGGTGCTGCCGTGGTATCCCAAAGAGGTTTGACATCCTCAGCTGCAGCTTCACGCTGGAGCTCATGCAGTAACCAGGGGTCGAGAAGGCGCCAGGATGTGAGGCGATTGATTAGAAGATCAAGAGGCCACTGAGACAGGGCGTTTAGGAAGGGACGGCGTATGAGGTGGTCGGATCGGTCAGGTTGGTGGACACCTTTGCAGATGAAAGCACGAGCCTCGGAGCATGGCGCGTGTACAACAGTCCAATTTCCGCTGCCATCCATTTTGATATCAGCAGCAAGACAACCACTGTTGAGGGGCTTCTTTTTGTCCAGCCACGTATTCTGCTCTTCCTTTGAGAATCGATGATAACTGAACGGACGTTGATCAATCCAGAACAAATTGAATGTTGGCTTTGCTGGACTTCGTTTGGCTTCACCCCCAAGCCAAATCTGAATTGGTTGTTCACTTCCAAACATTTTACTGAGAAGAATCTGAAAAGCAGAAAATAAAGGAGCTACAAACGTCGAATCTGAAAGAGGCATTAAATCCCAGATTTCTAATTCAGTCTGGACCCTAAGTTCCGTTCTGAAAAATTAGTTTTCGACGTAAGCCCACTCACGTAGTCGCCAGTACGGCTGTTTGTCCATATTACTTTCGTCGGCCTAGCAGCCCTTGTCAATAAAATGCCTCCGTCGTGCGCGACTCGACCACCGGACTCATGACGGTTTGACGCCGGCCGACATCGGGCATTTCGCTGATTGGATACGGGTAGAGATTGCTCAGGCGCACGCATCTACCTTACCGGGGGGTTCCCAACTTTGACAAATAGCCCACAATGTGGTAAAATCTATGCTGTTTTCGACTTCCCAGATGCACGCACTACCTCGGTCATAGTAAAAACTGTCCTATTAGTTCTTCCATTGTGCTTCAATTTTGTAAATTTCCTGTCAGCATTGAAAGTTCTCAGGCTTAAAAAGACGCATCTTGGCTAACTATAACAAGCAGGCCAGAAGTAGCTTATAACCTGCTGCATAAGCCTTTGGGCAAGAAATGGGAATGGCGGTTTTATCCTTTTATCGCTTCCACCTCCAAGGAAAACAGCGATATGATCCAAGTGCATTATGCGTAATTACAGACGCACACATTGACGGTACAGTTACCTCAGAAATATTTCGAGTAACGGAACCTCTGCAATAAACCCTTTTTGAACTATTGCGGCTTCGAAATAAGCAAATGCTTAGAACTACTTAATAGCCTCACTCGGACAGAAATAATTAAAAACAAAAAGATGTAGACATGAGTAGATGCCTACCCACTCCTCCTCATTCAAAACTGAAGCGATGTGCATACGTCTTGAGGAATCCTGAAAACAGAACTGTTCAGCTTGCTGAAACGAAAGCTTCTTCTGAGGGAGCATCATGTAGGAAAATCCGCCATTTTCCATTTTCTGAATAGTGGAAAAGTTTGTTTTTGAATCACCAGCATTGTCAACAAGGTAGTTGGATAGTTTGTAATACTGCACTCTAGTATAAGCACTGGACGGATGGTATAATATTGCGAGGAGTAAGATGTGAATCCAGTGCATCCCTCGGACAGAATGAAAGCCGTGGTCTGAATTAGTGTGATGAGTTAACTCTTCTGACTACAGATCTGACTTTGCTAAAGTTGGAATACTTAACTTTGGCAGAGTTTGATATGGCCTGAATGCATAATCACTAGAGATAACGAAATTCGTGAGTGTAGTTCTGACTTAAGTGAGCATCAAATGATTGATCCATCGTGTGGTCAGTGAATGCTGCTCATAAAAAAATCGATTGAATGCAGCGTATCTAATTTATCAAAGGCCGTCATGACATGAACTTGCCTAGCACGTTAACTAACCAACAGAACGCTACTCATGAAGACTTGCACAGGGCGTACAAGCGATAGGAGGATTTGGATTTACATTTCGATTAATGCCTGTTGCCGAAATTCACTGTCAAACTGCTCAAATAATGTTCCTCAGGTGAAAGCAGATAAAAAGTCACGGCAGTCTATCGATGTTTCAAAAGTAACAAGGGCAATTATTAAGCTGCATCAATTATTAACCGGAATGATGAAATTCAGTCTAGATTAGGAAGAATTATTTAAACAACGATGGCATTGTTGATTACCATACGACATAGTTCCACATTACTTCACATAAGCCAAGAATTTGCCCTTTGAATGCATTTTTTTTCGGTTGCCTGAAAAAAACTGCTCTTAGAAATGAACAACCTATTCAGATATGGCTTGAAGGGGAAGTCAAAGTATATTTTATAAAAAATATTCTTCCACGTATTTATCTGGTGGAAAATTACGTCTCCTCCAACTATTGTACTTCAAGGAAAGGGCAAATTTCGATTTCGAAAGTTCGCGAAAATGAGATTTTTTAAGACCGGGCAATGTTCGCTCAAATAACATCACACGTGTCCGTTCATCGATGCTCCGTATAACGTGTTCAACATAACCCACGCCCGCTATAGAATCTTATGGTCCCTACAGGGCAGTTCGTAGTGGCATAGTGGAATATATGATTTTCATTACAGGGGAAGTATGTTGCTTGTAAAATCAAAAACCTAACCTCAAGTGCAACTACTGATCGGGTTCAAAATTACTCCGGAATTTTAAAACAAAACGTTGAAATCTAAAGATGCCCTCTTGATCAGGCGTAAAATTGGAAGAAAACCAATGTTCTATCCAATGAGTGCAAGAAGGAATGCCTTTCAGCATGTTTTCTATAAACATAGTTAAGTTTGTAAGGACATCGAAGATCGACAGAGAAAAACGTATGCTCTCTAAGTAATCATTTTACTGAGTGCAGTTTTTGCAGATAGCCGAAAAGAGTTGCATTCAAAAGCCTGCCTGCCCGAAACATCTCGGGCACGTGTTGCAGAATAATTAGTATTGTAAACCCATCTAGGCAATCCTTCACAATCGTAAACGTATTTCTGAATTTAAGTTAACAATTAGAGATCGGTCACTGACTGTACTTTTTGCAGGAGTACTAAGGAGACTTCCCTTCCTCGCATGACCAACCTTCAAGTTGATTTGTAGTTTGCAGAGTTGATTGTTTAAAAGGTAGTTCGGCAGACATAGCTAACCTCCTACAGAAAAATAAAGTTCCAAGCAAGGCGCAGTTTGTCAGTCTTCAATGATCCTAAAATAAGCTGATTGGATTCCTGACGATCCCAAAGAATAAAACACTGATATTTTATATGCATTTATAAAGCAGTCTTGGTTCTACGCACAAAATTAGGTCAATTGGGTGTTTTAGAGTTACATTTGATAGGAAACCTGGCGAGAGCCTCTCAACTGGACCTTACCTACCTTTTCCAGAAGCGAAAATTCTCGAGCACAAAACATTCTAAAGGTTGGATGCCAGTCCACATATTTTCTGAAAAAGAGAGCACAGTAGATACGACATTAGAAAGAGAGCCATTTTAATCAACCAAGTTTGGCTACCTTCACTTTTATATCCGCTAAGATCTTCGATCCATCTAAAAAGTGGCTAAACAACACAGTGCTACTGATGCCAGTAAGTCTACCCTAAGCCAAATCCAGATTTCACCGATTTAAGTTAAGTGATGCACAAGTCGAGTTCCCGGTGTCATTCAAATCAAATAAACCAGTATACTTTTGGAATCATGAGTAATTTAAAAAATGATAAATTTGGTTTCAAACGATATTGCTTTTTCTGAACTCTAAAATGGACTACATGCAATGTATGTGCAATGCAAAAAAATGATCGGACGCATACCTAACGCTCTACTTTTGGAATCATCTTCAGAAAAATGAGTTAGTCCTACTCCCATAATCCAATGAGTGAAAAGTAACTACATTTAGTCCAAGATCAGCGGTGCTTGAATGCAGTGGAAGCTTAAACTTGATACTGCTGCTGCCATTACCGCAGAGTATTGACGCCATTTATTTTGAACCGTAGGCACAGTAGATGTGCTAACTCATTAAATGTTAACCGAAGTTCTGAACTGTGTCTTTGACTCAAAAAGATTGCCTAAGCAGGGTTGTTATATTAATAACTGTGCACCAAAATCCTATAAAAATCTAGTTACCGCAAGATGCCAGATTTAGAATAAATTTCTTTTCGGCCGCCTGCGAAAATTGTACTCAGTAAAAAATGACTATTTACGTAGCATGGATTTTTGTCATTAATCTTTGGTGCGCTGGCAAATTCAAGTATATTTAATGATGAATATGCATGAAAATATTCATTCTTTTGCTCATTTGTTAAGAAAGTATGTCTTCTTTAAAGTTTATAATTGAATGTCGTGTGTAATTTGATTTTTAAAAATTTTCCAATTTCCTGACAATTTTGAAACTGCCATTCCTTTATACTCACATTCGGTGTTTGCGAACAAAAAGCTTTGTATTTTCTGTGTATGAAAATTCATACATTTCTTTACGGTATTAAGAAGGGACCGTATGGGGTTCATAAAATTTGTCAGTGGATTTAGGCGCATTGTAAGCTCTACAAGCAATATTAGTAAATGCCGAAACACGATGTTTTATGAACGGACATTTCATGGTCCTATAAAATTTCCTAAATAGAAACTTTTTGTGACCAGATTATACCCTTTCTCTAAATATAAACTTTAAAGAAGACGTTATTTTCTACCAAATGAGTAAAATAAGGGATATGTCAATGAATGGTCTCTGTGACATATATTTGACTTTGTAAACACATTAAAAATCAATTACGAGACTCCATGCTACGTAAGCAGTTATTTTTTACCAAGTATACTTTTCGCAGGCGGCCCAAAAGAAGTTCGTTCGAAATCGGACATCCTGCAGTAGGTAAGTTATTATAGGGTTATGCTACACAATTAGTAGCATTACAAACATACTACGTTGAGATTTAATAGCCATTGAAGCAAACTAACATATTTACCTTTAATGCCCGTATTTTTCTCTGTTTTCGCACATTCTTCGCCGTTTTCCCACAGCCCCAGCTGTAATGCCCCTTCTACCACGGCTTCCATGTTGGACGCGCCTGGGCTTCCTCATTTCCCAGCACGACCGCTTTTCCGAGTCTTCACCAGTCAACTTTCCCAAGCCCCGTTTCCTCACTATGAAACACAAATGCACACCCGTTTTCCGCAGTGCGCTATATATAAATTGCTACTTTATACATGACTTTTGTGTATTTACATGGTTTAAAATATAAATTAGCACTTGCAAAGGAACACAGTTATAGCTCAGACTTTTTTGGGATATGTAGAGTGTGCTTGTTAACTTTACAGAGGGCGAACTGTCTTCTTTTATGGGTTCCTACTCACAGACGACAAAACGTAACAATTTCGAACTTGAAATGCATTCTTGTAGCCGAAATCTCGCACGAACGTTTTACCTACGTTTTATGTCTCTCTGGATCGATGCGGCAAATGACACCTGCTTTGTAGTGTAAAAATAGGCTTGTCGTCCCCCACAGCATTTTGCAGACCAGTATTGTATCTCTCTTACCTCTTAACCGCCAGAAACGTTTGATTTACGGCAGTTTTAAGGTCGATATGTCTGTGGGCTTTCACGTAGACAGTCTGCACACAAAACACCGCTTTGTCTGCTAATTTGCAGGTGTTGTTTTGACTGTGGTTTTATCTGAAACCAAACTCCACTGGCATGGGCATACTTACCAAGAGCCTCAAATATAAATGTTCTCCGGTCAGACATTTCGTTTTCATCTATTCTGGTCTCTTTCTTTTTGAGGATCCCAATATTTAGCCTGTCCGAAGGCTTAATCCCATACGGGTTTCATAATTTGCGGTTTTATTGCAGGGCAGATTATAATGAGAAATTCGCTCAAGATGAGCAGTCTGCGCGGTAGAAAAAAGGCTAAAAATCTCAGGTGGGTTGGACGTGAAAGTATGGACCCCGTATTATACGAGGCCTTGCCTTGAACTCCGGTGAGGGTTAGAGTTGGAATTAGAGTTGTCGTTAAGTTTAGGTTGGTCAGTTTTGGGGTTATAGGTAGATCTCGGGTTAAAGATAGGACAATAAATAATAGCCCCCTGAAATTTGGCTCGAGGCCACGGACGGTACTGGAGCGGAGGTTCCCTATTCCCCCGTCTAACCCCCAGATACTCAATTTTTATTCCGGATTAGCATACTAGATTCAGAGGAAATCAAAATCTTAACATCAAGAACCTTAACTTTTTTGACCAGAATTACTAATTCCATTAAACTTTTTCTTCATCGTTTGATTTCACAGTCAAATAGTTTCCCAATGGCACCGTTTGAAGACATCAGTACCGAAAAGATGTCGAGTTATTCGCTAGAGCGAAGATCCATCTGCCGGACGTTCCGGATTCATTATCAAGTCTGGCACCAAAGGCATTAACTGGTGAAAGCAGAGACGCAAGTTGCATGCAGTCAATATATGATACACATGCTTACATAACTCCGCCTGTTAAAATTAACAACCACCGTTTCCAACGAGATGGTGGCCTGTCCGACCTCATCCGAACCGTTAATGACGGCGGTCCCTTAACTAGTGCCAATGACGGACGTGGTAATCATTCGGCCATCTAACGAACCGGTAACGTCACTGTCCCCTCGTGCGCTCGGCGTATGACCAATTACTCTTATCTCAATGGGGTTCGGGGCAGACCACTGCGTTTGATGTTGAGCCATCCAGGACTCACTCGGTTGGCACATTTCGCGCGGATTTTTACCCCGTCGAACATGAAGGTATGGTCAGTTGCCTTGGTACTGGGGTTTGCGTCACTCCTCCTCACTGCTGGTGCGTGTTCGACTTTCTGGATCCTGCATAAACTTCCCGTTTCTCCGATACAGTAGCTTTACCCGAAGTTGCATTGGATACGGCAAAGGACTTCAGACGCTTGCTGCCATGATAGCGGATCTCCTGGCCTCACCGCCTGACGCATGATAGTTGCAGTCCCTAATTCGAGTGGTGTGAGAAGTTGGCTGGGGGCTTCCGAGATGTCCCTGACGTACTGCACGGCTGGCACACACACATTTCGGGGTTGGGTAGGACTGGCCAACGACGACTAGTAAGCCACCCACACCCTGGAGGAAGGCCACGAATTCAACTTCGCGAGCACGCGGATAGTGGCGCGGGCCAGTAAGAAGACAGGGCGAGAACTGTTGGAGGCCTGTGTGTCTGACACCAACTCTATCAACAGACACGTTGACATATCGCCCTGATATCACGCGCTCCGTTCCCGCGGCCAAGAGGCGAGACCCAATTTCCAACCAAGGGTGCGCGTGTGGGACTCAGCTTATCGCGAATACCACCCTTTGCACTCATACTCCCCATCATGGTTTGACTACAAAAACTGCTCATTTGGTGCCGCATTCTCACAGTCGCTGACGTTGGCCTCCTGTAGGAGACCGAAAACTCAGACTAATACACTTACTATTCCAGAGATCGTTGATTCATCTTTTTCACAACAAGAACCTGACATTCGCATATTCGCTTCCATGCGTAAGCCAGAAATGGCCATTCCAGTCTCCCTTGTCTTTGTCGGTAATGACATTCTGCCTATATCATGTGCCGCTGTGCGGCTGTTGATTGGGCCCGAGAGAGAGCCCGTAAGACACAACAGAATGAGTTCCGTAAGAACGATTGGTGAGCGCCACCCTCTATCACTGGCAAAATAGGCAGTCCGTTGTCCAAATTTCTAACTGTTGATCCTGGCACCACATACGGTTCAACCACAGAATTCTCGAAGAAAGTTAACGGCATAAGTCCTCATTTAGCATGGTATCATTTGATGTCGCGTGACCTTCACTTATTTCCCCAAGATCCGACAGACTGGTTCAGCGAGTTAGTCTTGGGCAGAAAACGAGAAGAAAGGGACAAGCGCCTCGGATGCGCACAAATCCACCAGCTTCTGTGGTTCTCTCACAAAACGCACCTCACAGTGCATGAATCATAATCAACATACGAGTTGAATCCTTGGTCAATCGACCGAACTATCAACCTCTCAACCATTCCCCCTGTATGTGGGTGGGCTGGTGAGTTCTATGAGTTTTAATGTGGAAATTCACGTCTTTATTTTACCCTTGTATTTGAATATTTGAGTTGGAATGCGTGCCTACACGACGAAGCATAAAGGCATTTATGCTAACTGCCCCAAGGACAAAATTCGTGTTTTCTTCCCTTGATTTAATCGCTCGCATCCAGATAGGGAGATGTGAAACGACTGACTAGATATGATTTGCTTCACGCCGAAGTAACCGTTTATTAGGAGAGGGAGTTTTCGACTTCTCCATTAGTTGCCAGCATTTCTGGCGGCGGCATGCACTCCGGGCTGACTATAGTGACAGTCGTAACACCGTGTTTACTTCTCTGTGCGACCAGGGTCACACTTGTCATCCAAAACACG